TGGCACTAAGTCCATTAAAGTGTCTGAGAAAGGCAACAGGGGGACATTTTGAGCTTCCAATTGGTTATTCAATGTCACATATAAAAGTAAGTGTATATAAGGGAGCATTTCCAAAAATGGAAAGAAGTGGGCAGATTGCCACTTAGCAAATTGAAAAGATAAGAGGCTCTTTTTTTTTACATTCTAGCTTGTCAATATCAGTAATTTTAGTTTCTAATTCATATGAAACTATAGACTTAGTATTTTGACTTCACAAACATCTAATCTGAACCAGTGCTGCATTCAACATACCATGTGACACACAAAAATCAATGTTTGTCTGTGTTTTTCAATATTTGCTTTTAAATTAAGAAATTGAGTAATATATAGTACTAAATTTGAATTATAATCTACAGCACTGTTTTCTTGGAAACTAACACATTAGTTACTGTCAATGAAACATACAAATAGCACTGTTTTCTTGAAAACTAACATATCAGTTACTCTCAATGAAACATACAAATAACACTATTTTCTTGGAAACTAACACATTAGTTATTGCCAATGAAAAATTCTACATTTTGATATTTTTTAATACAATTTCTTTTTCCAAAACTTATTTCAAAATTACTGATATTACATACTGCCATCCATATTTTGCTTTGTGTCAATTTTCCTGTCATCAGTGATATCTTTCCTGTCTCCTGGAGATGTTATCTTTCAGTAATCTATGCCCATACTGTGCAATACATCATGATGTCACGTGTTATAGGCCATGCTTAGTGATGTACATTTTGTTTTATAATTAATGAAAACTAAATTACTGATAAATTATTATTATACATATAATTATCATAGCTACTTTTTGATAATTAATTGAATAAAAATAAATACAGATGTGGATTAAAAAGAAAACTCACTAAAACTGTGAAGATTTGTTATATCCTTCAACTGCCAGACTTTACTGAAATGGTCAAACTGTTTCATATCGACATCTTTCAAGTCCTACACAACTATGTCAGTGATGTAATATATCCAGAGTATTATTGTCCCTTTTATGATTACTGTTTTATTAATGCACTAAAATTTTAA